CATGGTATTGGACCTGGGTACTTGAGAGACCGCCTGCTGCCAATTACCTCCCAAAGACCCATTAGATCGCACAGGGTCGGCCTCCTCCAGGTCCCGTCTACCAGCCAATGCCATCTGGCTATGACCTGGGGGAGGGCCTTCTCTGTTGCAGCTCCGGCCCTTTGGAATGAACTCCCCGCGGAGATTCGGACCCTCACCTCTCTCCCGGCCTTCCGAAAAGCCGTTAAAACCTGGCTGTGTTGGCAGGCCTGGGGTTGATGAGCTTCCCCTCTCGACAGGTATGGTTGTTGGTTATTTTTAAATATCTGTCTTGTATTTGTATGTTACCTTCCCCGTTTGAGTTGTTCGCTGCCCTGAGTCCCTGCAGGGAATAGGGCGGCATATAAATAAAACAAAACTTCAAACTTCAAAATTATCATCTGCTGAAATAGAAAAACTTACAATTTTTTGTACTTTCCTCCATTCTTTGGGAGAATGAAGTTCTTTTTCTTGAACCTTGTTTCAAATAATACACTTGAACTGGGCTTAAGAAAGCCTTTTGTGGAATTGTTAATTATTATTAATTATTTTATCCCCACCCACCAACGTCAGATGGCTGCACATTTTTAATTTTCACACTTGACTTTTGCACATAAGTATACTTTTCAGGGCATACTGTGTGTGTACATTCAAAATACTTTAAGAACATGCTAATTTTTCAAAAGTTTTATTGTTAAGGTTGAAGACTAGACAAGATTGTACTGCTTTAACATCATTCTACGTAATTTAAGTATATACAAAATACATTGGAACTTTACACAGGTTGTCAAGGTATCTGAATGAGTTCTGTACTTACTGACACATAAGAAGCCAGTTTTCAAAATTGTATTTCCTAATTTGTGGCATAGCACAGGTACACTCATTAGAATTCTTAGTCTTCAAAATTGCATGAATTTGTATGTCTTCATTCCAAAAACGAAAGTCAATCTAAAAATTTGAACTGGATATTTTCATTGTGATTGATTTTGTGACAAGCCCTTAATACAATTAAGTAGATTATCCTAAGCCTTGTGCATTATGTTTTAATTCCCAGGCTATAAAAGTAGCAAATTAGGAAGGTTATAGAAAGGTGAAATCTGCCTAGAAGTAAATAACTAAATCATTTTAGGGTAAATAGAGGGGAAATTAAATCTCATATTCTGTTTTACTGTTGAAGATAATACAAAAGTTAAAAACAATTTTATTATATCGTTCCAACAAATGTTTACTCTCCTCTTGATTTTAAGATAAAAGTCACTCAAAAGGAAATGACTTGGGAGATGCTATTCTAAAATAGCCAACTTGTTGATTTTAAATCAAATTTAGTTGTGAATTTCTACCAACTTCTGGAAAATTTCCATTGGCTTCAGATAACATAAATTGAAATTGGGCAAGTTCATATATCTCTCTCTTGTCTGCATCACAAGTGAAGTGGGACAATAGAGTGTCTCAGGCTTCCACATACACAGACAGAATGTTTTCTAGAACACAATGAAGAACTAAAGGGAGGATCAGATGCCGTCCCTTATTCGTAGCTTCATTTATCCAAGGTCTGAATATGCATATAAATTTCATCTATACAAAATCCTGCGACGTGATTACTGAATCCTGAAAAAGATAGGTTTACTCATTCCATGTAAAGAGTCTATACTTGTCCTTTTACACTTGTTATGTTCTAATATTTTGATGAGCACTTACATAAATCACAGAATGTCTTAAAACTGATGAGACATTTAATGGTATTTTCATACTGAATGACTATACTAGAAGGGGCAAACAGGCCACATGAACAGAGCAAATTTATGCTCAAAAATACACATAAGCCGAAGGTTGTACAAAACACTCTACAGATAGTGTAATTGCATGACTTCATTCTAAATTCACCATTTTGTGTGAGGCACATAGATGTTAGGCTAGTTTGGCTCATTTTGTGAATCTGCTCTCTTTATTTTAGGCCAAAAGCTCCAGTTGTCATTCACCAGCTACTTATCTTGGACTGTAATACTGGCTACTGAACTGGCTTAGCAGAAACAAATTGTAAATCACAGCCAGCCGAATGTAATATATGTAAAACTTCATGATGGAATTATTATTTAATAAGATGCAATTTATAGACCTAGGGCTGACTTAAACACATATGCACATCACACACTATTCAAGTACCCAGTTATTAAACTCTGATGATTTGGAATTGAGTGTGTGAAATTTCTGAATGAAAAAGCTTTCTATTTGATGGGATTGACTTGTTTGGAGGTATTTGATCAATGATGGCTGTTTCACCCATATCATTTACTGAGCAATTATGAATAGATGTACACATTCATTCTTACTACAGAATATATCCTAAAGCAGTAGAAAATTTTAAACAATGACACATGGAATTAAAAAGTGCAATTTAGTTGTCAACTTATTTAAGATCCAAAGAACACAATTCACTGAGAAATTTATCCTTTGCAAGTCTAATTGACTGACAAATTAAATATATTCATTATATGAGTGTAACAGTTCTATACACATTTTTTTCTCTATAAATAGCAGCTGTAAGGTAGCATTAACAGGATTATGGGGGGATAAGGGAATTCAAAAATAATTCCTGGTGCAATAAAATTACTCATGAGAAGCAGACAGTTTTACTTCAAAGGAATCTCCCATTGGCATCAGTGAAAGCTTCCCTTTTCTATTTAACATAATTCTGAAGATGATCATGTTTCTCTATAGCTGTACTAGGACATAAATACAGCTATAGCAAGGTAATCCAGTTATTCTGGATTATTTAAGTAGGTCTTGCAAGAATTAGTTTTCAACAAATTGTGCCTATATTTGCTAAAAACAGACACTTTCAGAATCATATAATTAAGTAGTTTACAGAAATAAACAAAGCAAGGTAAATAACACAATCATTTCAAAAAGAACAATGCATGTAAATTACTACATTTGAACATGACATTTTATGCACTGTAAATTATATAACACATGTTAATAATGAACCAAATAAATATTCACTTCCTTGCATTTTAAAAAATAAAGCACTAATATATTTTATGTCTATAATGACTAGCAGCACAAACTATTTCATTAGTGCAATGAAGTGATAATAGGGGTATCAGAAGTTTGTCATATTGGAACTCAATGTAGAAAACATTCCTTATTGAAGGGATGCTGTAGACCCAGACCAATTTCCTCCATATGACTCTCTACTACAGTGTAAAACATATGTTTATTACCCTGATCTATCAGAGGCAATCTCAGTATTAATACGATGTTGTTCTGGAATCCACATATGCCAAAATGTATCATTGCTCCAATTTCTCTTACAAATCAGTAGCTATGTACCTGGCACCCCAAAAAATAAAAAATAGCAGTGATTTGGTTGGCATGGGTTACCTGCTTGGTATGTTAATCCAGAGTTTATCTGTCTGATTTCAAGACAAGTCAGAGGTAGACCTCTGCACAAGGGTTCTGAATTTGTTCTCAGTGCCAAGACCTGAATTAATTTATTTTGCATTGTTTGAACATCATGGCTATAAGTGCAACCTTCTGTCCAATAACACTGAAAGAAGGAATGAGGTTACTAACTAGGATGGGCAACCTGCCACAAGCAAATTTCCAGCCCTATTCTTGCAGCCTCCATAACCACTCGATGAACCACTTTTTGGTGGACCTTTTTTTTGCTTCAGCAAGCACAGATTATAAGCTCACAACATTTTCATAGAGTTTAATTTACCCCCACTGGCAGAGATCCCTTTTTAAAAGAGATCTACAATGTAATGTCTCCCTCTGATTGGCATTTCAGTATAATTGTTACTTTCCCCTGTAGCTTTCCAAGGCTAAAGAAATGCATCTAAAATGCACTCTTTAGCTAATCTCTGCTTTAAAGTATAGATCCACTATAAAAGGAAAGACTTAACAACAAGCTACAGATTATTCCTGTTACTTCAACTTCTAGAATAGAAATTTAGAATTGAACAGATTTGCTTGGCTGTGGTTTACATAGCATTTTCATAAGAGCCTAAAATGCAGAATAGGGGCTGTATATAGTTCAATGCCATCTTGGTTACTACCTTTATTCCATCAGACTTTCACACCTTAATACAATCAGAGTTGACTTTCTCTTTAAAATTATTCACTACAATCGAAGACAATTCCATAAACAACATTGTTAAGAAATGTTAACATAGTTACAGATAAGACAATAACAGTTTAGTGAAATTGTAATGCAGCACAAATCCAACTAAAATACACACAGATACACAAAAGTCATAAACATACACAGAACCTTGGCATTCGTTACAGATACCGGTACTTGCTTTACCTTGATTAGATTCCCCTACTGAACATCTCTGAGTATCTTTGTCTAAGCCTTACAAATTAAATGTGTGAGTTCTGATCTTCTTAAAGTCTAGACAGCAGTCTTCTTTTTTGGGTACACTTTTTTGAGTACACATTTTTTTGAATGACATTTTAAAGAAAAATCCTCTGAAAATTAAAAACTTATGTAGTTCAAACCACATGAAGCAAATCTATAGGAGAATCTGTGAAGAACTTGGGAAACGTATTGTTAGGAATATAATGTAACAGTTGGGTTGGCAATATATAAATCATATAACAATGCTACACCTGTTTCTTTAAATCATACTGTAAAATGTGATTGGTTGCTGTTTCCTCAATTGGCCATAAGAGGGAGCCAGAATGACTGTTAACTCTGTTTGTTTGTTTGATGCTGGGCTGATCTGAACTGAGTGTTTTTTGGAAGCTGGCTGTTAGAAAGTGCCGTGAGCTATTGTAAGTTTTGCAACTGCTAGAAAACTGAGTACTGTTTGTATGATTATGGACTATGTTATTTGGATTATCCCTTAACTGAAAGACATTGATGACTGACTGTCTTATTCATGTATGACTTGGACTGTTTGATGGACTCTGACACCTGTATTTCCATGAAAGTAAAAGCCTTTAAACTGCAGTGTCTCTGTATGCTGGTTTGTGTGTTCTCCAACACAACTCTCACAACGCTTCTCTGAATACACTTGCTCTTCCAACGGGGAGCTTACCTAACACATATTACATCTACTTGTGCTATATCATCTCCTGCCTTTGTTGGTGTTCTCCCATGCTCCCATTTATTCCCAAATGTGCTCTAGACAATTCCCTAAGCTTAAGGTTGCATGGAGAAAGGGATTTTGTTTTCAAAAAGAATAATCTGTCGCACCATTAATTCCACTGCAGGAAGCTAGTGCTGGCTATAATCTTTTTTCTAATTATACTCTATAATTATAGGGTAGCTCATATATATATACTTCAAGGTTGTAGAACCCATACTTACTGTATATTGCCATAATTTGGAAACAAAGAAATAACGTAATTAAATAAAAATGTTTAGTGTGAACTATTTTAATGAGGCTAAAAAAAAACCCATCCCATCCCACATATCTTTTATTAAAATAAGAATGGAGATGGTGATTGATATAGAGTTTCAAGTAAGAAAAGTACATTCAGCAAATACCTTGTTTAAATGAAAGTGCTTTGCAATAGTGGCCAGGATCACTGTCTAGTAAAAACCCCTGAACAAACTGGAGTTTCATTTGCAAGAGAAATTCCACTGATTAAGTCATCTGTCAAATTCTCACTGTCTTTCTATATATAATTGCCTTTGTAGATGGACATAAGTGGAAACAAGAAACTATTCCAGCCATCCTTTTGCAGTATCTTGGTACCCTCCTTCCCATGGCAACAGCATTTCATATCTTGTTTGGATGATCACAAACTAGGGATACATGGCACTCTAGCATTGATTGGTGTGCATCGAATCCTAGCTGTATATTTTCAGATAGGATATCCAAGGCACAGAAAGCAATATTCCTTAATCAAGATGAATGACCTGGAATTGGGAGTAATTCTTGTCACATAAGTATCTCTGATATGTTAGAAGTCCCAGAGATATAAGAGCTACAGTAACAATAAGAACCTTTACTGTGATCTAGACCATCACTTTGAAAACCTTAACCCTCTCCCAATAACTTTATTTCTTCTATATTGTTAGAAAGTTCTGTCAGAATGGTTGTCCTCAGTTACAGTGTAAGTGAAAGCTGAATTCTTGTAGCAGGGATCTTGGGTTGGTTAACTGTCTTTTAGTAGCCTAATTTCTACACACATAGCATCTTTTAGTAGGGAAAGAAATATTCCTTGTTTTAAAAATAATTGAAGTTACAATCTTAACTTTGTGATGTTATTAGATGTATATATACCCGAGTCCACCAGTGTCTTTACAGTCTTAAGAACCACAGACATGCTGAGTTTGAAATTAAGTCTGATGTTTGCATTCAGTAAAACTGTTCTGCTTTCTCTTCCTTTTCCTTCTACTTTTGCCTCTTCCTGGCCTGATTATCAAACTTGTGTGCCCAAAATAACTTTGTACAGCTGAATTTTGCAATAACTGAAAGATCATAACAGCACCCAGCCCATCACTTGTATATGTCCCTCTGTAGTGTAGCTTATGGACAATGCTGTAGCAAGGTTGCACTTCTGAACTAAGATACATTGGTTCATTTTGGAATGAATGCTAGATTTTTTTTTTATCACACTGGCTCCCTTTCCCACTGACCCAAAGGGTTGGGGACAGCTCCTTCATAGATTAACAAGCCAACTCTGAAGGAAGAAAAGACAGAAGCACATGGATGCCATATTAAGCCATTTATGCAACTTTCTTTTACTGAGAATCATCTTCAGATTTGGTCCATATTCATGTCAGCCCAGCATTGTGGGGTGGGGGGAAACCTGTAAGCTGAATTCATTTACAAAGTCATAGACTTCATAATGTAACAATGACAGATTTTGTCCTATAAAATTCAGCTTTGGTCACCGAAAAAAAAAACCAGCAGCAGTTAATGGGATTAAATGTAAAAGACAATGAAATGTTCCCATTGTGCTCAGTAAAAAGCGAAACAACTGGAAACAAAATCTAAAGTGCGTGGACTCAGCTCTTCTAAAAAAAAAATTACAAAATGTAGCATGTGACATGGAAGGACCGCAGACCACATATTTTTGTTTTCAAAAATAGTATCATTTGTCATGACAGTATATGATAGGCACAAGGGAAAGAATCAAATGAAGTCATTCCCGAGAAAAAACTTATTGCTAAAGCCACAGTATCACTTGTAAGTAAGTAAGATGACTGCATGGGTTTTGAAATAGTGACATCCATCAGCTTGTTCTCAGATTACTAATGAACTCTGTAAAACCATGTTCATTTCCCTTGCAAAAATCATTTATATTTTTTGTTTTAGCTCTTATCACATTTTAGCCAATGAGAACAACTCAGAAGAGAACATGAACTTTCACAGTAAAACAGAGAAATAATTGGAGCAGATTTAAAAGGGAACAAAAGAAAAATTAAAAAGAGGTAAGAATATGCATCAGAATTGGACTATTTTAAGAGCAGGCTTAGACTTCCTTACAAAAGAGAACAGCCTACCAGAAAGTGAGCACTTATTCATGAAAAGCCCATTCAACTTCCTACAGGTTTTGCAGTTTCTTCTATGGAGTTTTCTTTATATATATATGTATATATATTTAGAAATATCAAGAGTTGTGCTATTAAGTGCAGGTTTATGCATCAGTCCTCTTCTGTACAGCCCAAAAGCTCTGACCGTAAAGTGATTCTGCCATACCATGACCAGGGGAGGATCCTTATGTGCCGTGCATAGATTGGAGGATCAATAACGTTCTTTCTGTGGGTATCATTGTCAAAGTTTCCCTGGAAAACCTGAAAGATAACCAGCAAAATATAGTTATAAAAAAAATGTAGTGCACAAAACAAATAAAAATGTTCACTTCAAGGATGTTATACCTGTGTGTTTGTTCCACAGTGGTGGGTTTCAATTTTTTTTACTACCAGTTCGCTCATGTGTGATGCTTCTGCACATATGTAGAAACATCTGGGTGGGTGTGTGGAGCCTCCCACCGCCACCACTACCGGTTCGTCCCATCCTGGCTGAACCAGTTGAAACCCTTCTCTGATGTTCTAGCATAACTCTGGAATGCCTTGAGCAATTTCAACCAAACTTAGTACACAGATGACTTACTCTCTGTAAAAAAATACTTTGCGGTAAGACCCCTCTGTATGTGTGTTCTATTAAGATACAGCCTGTTGTGCCTTAAAATGACTTATACTGTATTGTCATAAAATGGCTTCTACTGTACTGTACAGCATAGTGGAGTTGTCATGGTAACAGCTTCACAGTTCTCCATAAGGGGGCTCCCTCTTGTAAGGAGGAAAATCCAACATTAGAAATTACATTTGGTCCGGACATTTTTCCCCTATAAATAAATATGCAGGCAATGCTGGGTTATCAGCTAGTTGAAAATAAAAATAAAATACTGTGATTTCTAAATATGTCAGTCTATTAGGGATCAAATCCTTCTAATTAAGGAAGATTTATTCTTAACATAAGTATGTTCAGTAGTTTTACAGGTGTCTATAGTCACAAACCCTTCCCTTATCAACTTTGATCAACTGATCAGCTATTCTCTGAGATCTATAATAGCCTATGTGCAAATAAATAAAAGACCATTATATTTTATTATTAAAAGTAATTTGTTGCTCAAAGCATCACTAAATATTCATAGATTGTTTAAAATCCGGTCTATCATTATATTTATGGTATTATGAATTATTAGATATATTTTATGTGTGGATCCTTGATGTCTCTCAATTTGGTGTCTCTCAACTTTACTTACACAGGTTTCATTACCCAACTAAGTGATACCATCTACCATCAGTTCTAGTGAGTGTGGTATATTGCTTTCCATGTCAGTTCTGGTGAAGGTGAGATTTTCATTCTGATATTGGTGGGCAATCATAGGCAATCAGTTGTTCATCATTGGACGTTTGTTTATATGCAACTTTCTCCCACTTGCATGCTTTCTGGAGTGTTTAATGTCCACATGTGGTACAAATGGAAAAAAATGTATGTAGCTTGGGGTTGAACTGTGGAGTCTTTGGTATATTGATATTGTGATTGATATTGTGCTATTACTGATGTTCTAAATTTATTAATATACTGTAATTACTTTCTGTTTGGTTGGATGCAGCAAATATGTTGGCTTGTAAAACAGTCTTTAGATTAGGGATTAAACTATAGCTCACAAAGAATTGCATGTTGGGTTGAAATTGACGTTTGGACTATAGAATACTCTTGAAAATGTATCAAAATTGACCAATGTTCTTACTGTTAGAAGCAAATGTTGCACTTGGCAGAAATGCAACTAAAGCTGGAAAGTTAGTACAACTTCTCTGTCTTATTTAAATACATCACTGAAAGCTTCAATTCACCAAAACCGTAATGAAGGCAGGACATAGAGAAGATTGCAATCTGGAATCTAAGTATTAAAAAACATGAATGAACAAATGAAATGAAAGAAATAAAAACACATACCGGTTAAGTTTGTGAAATAAGGGAATGGAGTAGGATATAAGAGATCTGAATGACTCTTGTAGAATCAATATGAAGAGTACATGAAGAGATATGCAACCACAAATTATGAGGGTCATATAGGGAAAGTAGGAATTTGGATCATAGGAATTCTTGTTATGAACATACAGTATGTCACTAAACATTCAGTAGCTGGTGATAGTTACACGATATATGCATGGTGTATATGCATGGTGAGAATGAAAGTACAACAGATTAAGGTTTTTTTAAAAAACAATCTAAATGAATGCTATCTAGAAAGAAAAGTTGGAGTGTGGAAATGGCTCCATGACCAAGGAAGAGTCTAGAGAATGTGGTCAATAATACGGGGGAGATAACAAAGCAACATAAAAAGCTAACAGAGCTGGTCATCTTTTAGATTTTTTTAGCACACCCTGTGGACACTCCCATACATGAGACTTTTGGAAAGCATCTGATGGTTTTTGAATTGTAAATTTGTTTAGATTCCTAGAAAGTATTGTTTTATAAAACATGCTTTGTGACTGCTGGGTGACAGAAGGAGAGAGGGGGAGGGAGAGAGAGAGAGGGAGAGGGAGAGAGAGAGGGGGGGGCAGGCAGAGGGGGAAACAATACTGCATTAGAGCTTGGGGGAGAGCTTATGGCAAAGGAATTCATTCCCATTGAATTCAATAGCGATTTTTGTACCAAGTAATTCTTGTATACATATATTTTTGCAATATATTCTCTGGAGTGTAGGGCTGGTATTTAATGCAAATTGCCAATTGCATATGCTGTTCAATTTGGTTCTGGATGCATGTAATACAATAAAGATGTGCTGTCTGTTCATAAGCAGAGGTTTCCTCAATCTTGTTGAAAATTGGAAGGTAGGATGGAGCCCATCTTGCAGCTCTGTGCAGACTGGGGAATTGTTAGCAAGCTTGGTTTTAAAGAGATAAGAGAGATGGATAGGGATCCTATGATGGAAACTTCCCCAGAGATAATTTCAAAGATACACTCAATGTAGAGTTATACAGGTTATGTACAGACATGTGCAGCAAACTGCCATATCTCAGTTACCTATTACCTCAACATCTATGACCTCAACTGCTTATTAGAACCAGGATAGCAATAGCAATAGCAATAGCAGTAGACTTATATACCGCTTCATAGGCCTTTCAGGCCTCTCTAAGCGGTTTACAGAGAGTCACCATATTGCCCCC